CCCGGCGATTGCTGTGGCACGGTCTCGTCTCTGACAACTGTGACATTGAACTTCTTTGGCTTCTTGTGTCCAGAATGACTCCAATACTTAATCCCATCCAAGAATTTAGCCAAATGAGAGCTCCATCCCTTGAAAATATCTCTCAAATCAGACAGTGATATGTAATTGATCATGCTGTCATACACTATTATCTTAAGGGATGGGAGCTGAAGTTGGACGAGAAGCCAGTGATGACGTTCCAAAACAGGGATAAACACCTGCGATCATAAGTAATAATTCATTTATTTGCGCACTTATTTATGAACACCTTTAAAAAATTTAAAAAATAAACACTAACCTTATCGACCTCCCACCATGCAGGATAAAGTTTAGCTTGTCCATTGCCCAACAAAAATGATTCATCTCATTGATTCTTCAAGTGAACTGCGTGAAAAGCCGTCGGCATTATTGTATATAGCGAATTTTTTTTATTTTTCCTAAGCTTCCTTATTATTAGTAGACGTGACACCCACGCATCGATATGCTGTTTTACAAAAAAATACATATATTAGTGAATTACATTAAATTTTAAACAAATTAATCAAAATCATATATAAGACAAATATAAGACTTACCTCCCCATCCAAATAGCCACTGTCTTCAACCCCTAATAGCACACCCCACCAAGACTGATCAAGCAACAAAAACATTTCATCGTTGAGTTTGCTGATGTCAGTGTAACACCCTTGGCTCCGCTCATGTAGATAAAAATCAACTGCGGTCTTAGCCCAAAGGGTATTATCCACAATTGTTTCCGGTAGTTGTCTCCTCTCCACTTCAGATACCGGAAGGGTACTAGCCGGTAACTCATACGAGAGCCAACTCTCATCCATCATGTCCGGAACCGATGGGGGTTTCTCAATACTTCGATATATTACCCCATGTGAATCGGGCTCTGGAATGGTGGGAGGGACCTCTTCAACGATGACAGTGGCCTCTTGAACGGTGGGGGGGGGAATCTTGAGGGAGAATAGGGGCCTCTTGAACGATTGGAGGGGACTCTTGAGGGATGACCGGTGAGTCGGGCTTCTTCTTGCGGAGTCTTCGCACCATTGGGGTGAACGGAGACGTAATAGCACGTCCACGCCGTCTGATGCGTGAACTCCGTCGTGCAAGGAAAACCCAACGTAAAGCATCCACCTTATCGGGCCGCTAAAAAAAATTAATACATAAATCAGTAAATAAACAGACATGATATTAAACAAAGACAAATATGTTTCAAACTAGCATTGTATTCACCCAAATCATTATTTTATCATAGTTCACAAAATGCTCAGATAACATTTCAGAAGTAAGCACTTATATAAACATTTAAAAGGACAACATATATAAACATTCCAAAAGAAGAATAGTTTACTTTCTCAACACGAAACTTAAAATCGCAACGCGAAATGACTATCGCAACGCGGAAATGGCTATCGCAATGCGAAATGAAAATCGCAACGACAAAATCGCAACGCGAAATGAAATCGCAACGACAAAATCGCAACGCGAAACACAAATCGCATTGCGATTTTCATTTCGCGTTGCGATTTTGTCGTTGCGATTTCATTTCGCATTGCGATTTTGTCGTTGCGATTTTCATTTCGCATTGCGATAGCCATTTCCGCGTTGCGATAGTCATTTTCGTGTTGAGAAAGTAAACTATTCTTCTTCTGCAAATTGAAACTTGAATGGATTGCATTACTTCAACCAAAAGACAAAAACAAAACCAAAAACAAATACTAACAAAAACAGTTTAGCAGTATTGGCAGCAACCGAATGAATTACGAGTATGAAAAATCTTAAACTTACCTCATTGCGTAGAGTATGAACCTCATTCTGCAACGATGCTACCATCTCACGTAGAGCGGCTACCTCACCGCGTAATGTAGACACCTCAACACGCCATGCACCATCGTCTTTGCGTAAAGTACCGACCTCCTCACGCAAGGCATTGACCTCATCACGTAACTCCCCTAACTCATCCCGTTGAGGTGGAGGTGGAGAACAGGGAGATAAACGTCGTGGCATCTTTGCCGGTCGCCTATCTTGCGGTGATGGTGGAGAAGAGGCTCGATGATGTGACAGAATAGGTGATGGCTGTCGTTGTGGAGGTGTATAGCCGGGTCGATCAGATGATGGCTCTGGGTGAGGTGATAGCTCTGGGCGAGGTGATGGCTCCCGAAGTGGAGGCTGCTCATCAACCGTTCCATCAAAAAAACGCTTACTAGCTTGCCACCAATCAGTGGCAAGCTCAGCTTCCGTGGGTGTCAGCCTCTGTAGAGGAGTGTTGGCCTCCTAACAATATAAAAGCTCAAACAAAGTTAAACGTTTACTAGTAATAACTTGTTTATAAACATATGGTAGTATTTATGTTAACTTACATTATTTATTATCGTATACCGTAGTAAATCTTCCCATTGCAAGGTCCGTTTCCTCTTCCAGGAAATAGCCCTGGGAATATTATTTGAAGTTTTTATTGCATATGTCTTCATGGTGGGAAATGCCTCAAATATCCAAATCTACAAACAATATAATAACAAACATTAGTAATTGTTAAATAATTACTTATAATTTTGTAAACATCATATAAAAATTCTTACCTTAAAGGCCCAAATAAAGCCTGTCAAAGTGTATTTGGAACCATCGCCATGCAAACTTTTTCGATCATCCAAGGCAGACGATAACTTATTCCATGTAGCTTTCCATAAATACGAGCCCCACGGAAACAGGTTCCACGCATTTAGGTCTTCTACCAATTTGATTAGATCATTTGGAATAGGTTGTCTGGCCTCTCTGCCTAAAAAGCCGGCATGCAAAAGAATTAGAAGGCATACTCGGACAACGTCGACGTCATCCATCCGAGTAAAACCATCTTTATTATTCAAAAATCTTGTCAGGTCTTCTACGTGTAGACTCGGCCTCTCCAGCTCAGGAAAAACCCGGGATAGCCATGATGGGCGGGTAATGTGTCTAGTGTACCGACCTATATCATCGTGTCCGAAGCGTAGACCGGTGATTAAGCAAAACTCATCCCGCCCAAAACACTTATACGTCGGTGGAAAATCAAACTATATCTCTTCATCACGACGTTGTATAGTCTCTGGTAGATCGCTAGTCATGGTTTGAAGAAACAGGTGTGTCAACATCGCATCTCCACCGGGATGTTGTACTTTCAGCCATGGCCCGAAGCATGTATCCTCAAACATTTTTCTTTGTGCAGGTGAAAGCTTCGATGCAATTGTTTTGGCCAGGCTGACTTTATTTCTCAAGGTCAATTGAGCCGAATAAAAGTTCTACAAAAACAATAAACATACTAAATTAGATATACCAAAAACTACACTGTGAAGATATACCAAAAACAATAATAAACATAAATAGTAGTAGTTTATTCTTCAAACTTAAATATGCAACACTGTGAATTTCGTATTTGTCTTTGTTTTTTGGTTGAAGTAATGCAATTCATTCAAGTTTCAATTTGCAGAAGAAGAATAGTTTCTGAAAATGAAAATCGCAACACGAAAATGACTATCGCAACGAGAGAATCGCAACGCGAAACTAAAATCGCGTTGCGATTTGCATTTCGCGTTGCGATTCTTGGTTGATTTAATAAGCAATCTAAGTGAAATGGTTAATCTATTATTGAAATTACCAGTAAACTTATCATCAATTTCAATATGAAAAACCTAATAATAATACAAAAATTTCAAAAAGAAAATAATTAAAAAAACTAACCCTCGTTGGTTGATTTGGTTGATTTTCCATTTCTGATTGTGAGGGTGGCTCTGAGAGATGGAGATAGACGGATTTCGCCGGAGATGGGGACGAATTTCGTCGGAGATGGGTGAGAGAGTGAGAGATGGAGATGGGACTGAGTTGTGATTTTAGGTTTTAGGTTATGAGTTGCGATTACGGGATATACTATGGACAGTTCAGTGTTCCAATATATTAATATTCATGTTTGGAATTTAAAAATAAAATACTTGGCCAGGATACTAATGGCGCTTTGAAAATCGCATTGCGATTATGTATTATCGCGTTGCGAAAGTCAGTATCGCGTTGCGAAAGTAAGTATCTCGTTGCGATTTTTTATTATCGCATTGCGATAGTCAGTATCGCATTGCGATTTTCCCAATTCGCGTTGCGATTTACTTATTCGCATTGCGATTTTCCCAATTCACGTTGCGATTTACTTATTCGCATTGCGAATTGGGAAAATCGCAACGATACTGTAGACCATCGCAACGCGATTTTCAACTATCGCATTGCGAAAATGCAACGCGAATTTGCGATAATGGAGATCGCGTTGCGAATTAGCGATCGCATTGCGATTTTGTTGGTCATTTTGGCAAATCCGAAATAAATTAGTTAAAATCGTATATTATATGATATTTTTAATCACTGAGGTTATTTTCTCTATAAACTTAAAGCTCTCAAACTTACAGACATGAAGAGCTCCTGTCAATTGCTTTGAGTTTGGATCTTGTCCAATTGAAGAGCTGATCTTATCAACAAGCCTGATAGAAACAAAAAGACAACTCTTTTAGGAATTCACGCACTGCGGTTGGATAAAAAGGACGTGATGAAGTTTCGCCAGAATAAATGCTTCTGTGCACATGTATACGATGCATAACTCAAAATCCTATGAAGAATTTTTATAAAGGGAAATATTTACGTTATTATCCAGAGAGTTGAGAGAGAAAATACAAGTGAGGAAGAAGAGGAAGCTTCTCTTTCAACTATATGGCTAAAATTGGAAATTAGATATACTTCAAGGATTTATTTGATATTTAACAGTACTTAAGGGATAAAATTAAATATTACCAATTTTGTTAATGTTGTCACATCATTAATTTCATGGGATCATTATGTTACAAATCTCTAACACTAGTGATCAATTTATAACGTTCAGTGGGTAATAAATAATGTACTCACATTTTAGTGACCATTCGTGTAGTTTACCCTTCTTTTTACTTTGTGCTATCGATCCTCAGTCCCCGCGAAAAACGAATTAAAAAGAGAACTTATCTTTTTATTTTATTTTATTTTTCATTTTCATATCTATATATTTTCCTTCTAGGGTTCCGTTTTACCGCCCTCTACATATGGCCGACGTAATAAACATGCCGGTTGATTCCTTCGACCACCGACGTGGCGGAGGCGGCGACCGTAAAGACAATGAAAACAGCAATGACAACAGACAGCCTCCGCCATCCGACGATCCCAACTCCTCTCCCCCATCGCCGCCTCCCCCTCGACGCCGAGAGCGAGACTCACGCGAGCGACGGGACCGCGACTTCTACGATCGCAACCGCTCTTCTCCACCTCCACTCACCAGAGACAGAGATTACAAGCGGCGCAGTAGCATGAGCCCTCCTCCACCGCCGTTTTATAGGGATAGGATACACTCGCCTCCGCCGCGGAGGTCTCCACCTTATAAGAGGTCTAGGCGGGAGGATGGTGGGTACAGAGGGAGGAGAGGGAGCCCTAGAGGAGGATTTGGACCTGGAGATAGAAGGTAATGTTTCATTTCTTCTAGATTCATTTTTATCACAATTAAAATGTAAATTGACGCATCTTAAATTAGCTATATGTATCTGAACTATTGATTTTTTTGCTGTGCTTATACTACGAAGTTATTTGTGATCTGTTAAATTTAGCATTTACTCTAATCAATTTTTATTTTTTGATAGAATAGTCTAATCAATTTAATCTTGGAATTTTTTAACTGCGACTCCGTTAAGATCGAGAATAATCATTAACTTAGGAATCTTCCTGTAATTTTTTGTAAAGTATACCTTGTTAGCCAATGGTGTCGGTATTTTGAATGCATGAATTGCTACCTATGGTTGCTTCTGACCCTGCAAAAGAACCTTGAATGAAGTTTAATGTTACTTGAAAATGGATAATTCATTCAGTTTTCTCGTATTGCTCTTGATCCTGCGTCTCTTCTTTATATGACTATATGTTTCATTATTTGAGTGAATTTATGCTCATATTTTGTCCATATATTATGATTCAATCATATATGATTTGTTATTTTCACTTGACAATTTTGGTTATATTCAGATTTTTCTCATAGTTTAATTCGATTTTGATTTGACAGGCTTGGGTACGACTATGGTGGTGGATATGATCGTGAGGTGATGGGAAGGGCTGGTCTCCCCGAAGAAAGGCCTCCTGGCAGATACTTTGGCCGTTCTTCTGGTGGCTATCAAGGTGATCCACTCTAGAAATTGTTTAACTAATTTCATATTTCCTCAAACTTCAATTCTTGCACTTGGAACAATCTCGAAACATTTTTGTTTTGACCTTTGGTTCTGCCTTATTTTTCTCTTATTATTAATTTATTAAACTCCGCCTGTGCTTGCACTGCCAGTCCCAAGCCCGGATAAAGGAGGAGGGTTGCATTAGTCTCGTGATAGCCAGTGTAAAATCCTGTCACATCTTTTGACATGGACTGAGACCCCTGAGATATTGAGATTAAGGCTTGTTGGTTTGGTTCTGTTAATATATCAAAGATGTTAAACTACATTTATATACTCCTTTTTCTTGCAGCCAAAAGCATGCAAATTCCTACTGGTTAGGAATAGCTCTAATTTTCATGCATCAAATTAAAATAATCAGAGATTAACCTAGACAAAACTATATTTTTTTTTTGGCATTAATGTTTCCCATTGAGCCACTTTTAGATGTAGCATCATTTTGGAAAGTATCTAGATGCATATGACGAGAATAACTTTGGGCATCTATGAAATGATGCATAATTACAGTTGACGGTGACACTATGTGTAGTAGTTGCGTTCCTTCTAAAATTCCATTGGGTGATGATGCATTACCATATACTACTCTGCGGTAACAAACTTTTTATCAATATTTTCTGTTTATGCTGTTTTTAGTTTGCCAAATAATATTGTTTTTGCAGATTGGGATTCTGGCCGTGGTTATGTTGATGCCTCCAGTTCGAGGAGTATTCAAAGGTTAGCTTTCCATCTCATTTAGGGATTCATGTATCATATTAGTTTTAAATTACTTTTCATTGCATTGCTGGCAAGAGCTTTGTTACTCCCATTCACCAAAAACATGGAAGTACCCACGTTGACATGACACGACCCAGGATAGGTCGGACACAAAAAATAGGACCCATCTTCATCCCATGGTCAGCAAATCAAGCTGAGGAGATATCAATCCATCCCCATGATTTGGAGCAGCACATCTCATCCTTACCATCATGGGTAAGGAGAGAGAGATGAGAAAAGATTTGAGCTATTCCAAAGAGAAGAAGAACCTTCAACCACTTTTGGTATTTTAAATTTAAAGAGTTCTGTTTTCGTACAAGGGAAGAAAAGAAGTCTTTTTAGATTGAATTTTGGGCCTATTCTTTAACTAGACTTGGATATTATTAGTTTTTAAACAAAATCCAATTTAATAATTATTCATAACATTGGTTTTAGGTTTAAGGCCCAAAATATATTTAATTCAATGTACAAATCCAATCTAAATGGTAGATTGTTATATCTTAGATTATATTTGATTCTTAGTTATAAAATTAAATTATTATAAATAATTTTTTAATAAAAACAAAACAATATTATTTTTATAAAATATGAATGTATTATATTTTACTTAAATATTAGTATGTTCATTATCTTAAATGTGAAGTTGTTAACTTTATGGTAATTATCCTATAAAATAAAGTTGTAAAAATATTGTTCGAAGAGTCCCTGCACCCATGTCCTCTTCTCTGACCCTTTTCAGCTGTATCCCCAGGTTCTAGATTTAAGGTGATTGGCATGTCTGACACTTAGATCCATACCCGTGTCTGACATCTGTACCTGAGTCCAAGTAGCATAGGACAAGACTGCCATATTGAAGGTCTCTTTTAAATTTTGATTGAGATGATTTCAAAACTGTTCTTATCATTGGTTGTTGCATAAATGTTTCAGAGAAGGATTGATGTCATACAAACAATTCATTCAAGAGCTCGAGGATGATATACTGCCTGCTGAAGCTGAGCGCAGGTACAAACGAGGAATAATGTTATGATTCAGTTTTATCTTATTTGAGACTTGTGGCTGAAGCTGTGGTTTTTTACTGTGTAGGTACCAAGAATACAAGTCAGAGTATATATCTACCCAGAAACAAGCCTATTTTGACGCTCACAAAGATGAGGACTGGTACTTCCCTTTGATTGCTGAATTCCTCCTCCACTCACCTCGCTGTTCTAATTGGACTTCTTTATGTTGTAGGTTGAGAGACAAATATCATCCAACAAATTTGGTAACTGTTATAGAAAGGTTAGTTGTACTTGCATATTTCTTGATGTTTCAGGTCATGAATTTGTTACTAAGCTGATAGATCCCCTCAGCACTGCATTTTGTAGCATGGTGCGGTTTTACTGCACTGTTGCTCGATTCATTATTTCAATTTCTTGTTTTATTTTGATTTTGACATTTCCTTTTTTAGGAGAAATGAGCTTGCTTGTAAAGTTGCCAAGGACTTTTTGCTTGATCTGCAGAGTGGAACGCTCGACTTGTAAGATCTGCATAATGTGTCTTCGTACTTACATGTATATTAGACCTTTCTCCCTGCTAATTCTTTTCAAGCTGCTGTCCAATAATTTATATTGGTTATGCAGAAGTCCTGCTGGCAATTCCTTATCATCAAATAAACCAGGACAGACCAGTGATCCTATTTCTGAAGATGAAGCAGACATTGGTGGCAAAAGAAAGCGGAATGCTAGGGGTCCTGCTAAAGAAACTGACCTTTCTGCTGCTCCAAGGGCTCACCCAATCAGTTCTGATCCAAGAAGAATTCAGATTGACATTGAACAAGCACAGAGCCTTGTGCATAAACTGGACTCTGAAAAAGGAATCAAGGAAAATATTCTTAGTGGACCTGAAAACCAAATAAATAGAGATAAACCTCATGGTAGTTCCACTGGCCCAGTGATTATTGTGCGTGGCTTGACCTCTGTGAAAGGACTTGAAGGTGTAGAGCTTCTGGAAACACTCTTAGCTTACTTGTGGCGTGTCCATGGCTTGGATTATTATGGAATGATTGAAACAAGTGAACCTAAGGGTCTTAGGCATGTGAGAGAAAAGGGGAAGGGTTCTGATGTGACTAGCAATGGATCTGAGTGGGAAAAGAAACTCGACACACGCTGGCAAGAGAGGTTGAAGGGTCAAGATCCTTTGGAATTAATGACTGCTAAGGAAAAAATAGATGCTGCTGCTGTTGAAGCTTTGGATCCTTTTGTCCGAAAAATCAGGGATGAAAAGTATGGTTGGAAGTATGGTTGTGGTGCTAAGGGTTGCACAAAGCTCTTTCATGCTGTGGAGTTTGTGCACAAGCATCTTAAACTCAAACACCTGGAGCTTGTGATGGAGCTAACATCTAAAGTGCGTGAAGAGCTTTATTTCCAGAACTACATGAAGTAAGCATGGTCTTACATGCAGCTTATTGGTTATATATGTGTGTGTGTGTGTGTGTGTGTGTGTTAAGGATACTAATATAAAATATACACCGTTGCCATTCACAGTGATCCAGACGCACCTGGTGGGACACCTGTAATGCAGCAATCTGTACCAGTATGCTACAACTGTTGTTTTTTTTATGTATTGATTGCTCTTGAAGATTTATGATGTTGTGTTTCGTTTTATCTTTTTATTTTTTCTTTTTGCAGAAAGGCAGGTCTCTGAGACGTCAAATGTTGGAAAATCGTTTGAAAGATGAGCGTGGCTCCCGTAGAGAACGTGATAACCGAGGGAACGGAAGTGATAGATATGATAAGTCTGAGAACCCTCAATCAAGTGATTTTCCATCCAACAATGACGGATCTGATAGGGGAAATCGTGATGATCTAATGTTTGATGCTTTTGGTGGACAAGGGGTGCATGTTGCAACTTCATTTTCTTCAGATATGGCACCTCCACCAGTATTGATGCCTGTTCCTGGTGCTGGGTAGGTCTTATACTGTTCTACAAGTAGCAGTAGTTAGCTTATTATTTCCTCAAGTACTTATAATTGTGTAATTGCAGTCCATTGGGTCCCTTTGTTCCTGCTCCACCCGAACTTGCAATGCAGGTGTTCAGAGAGCAGGGTGGTCCTCTTCCTTTCGAAGGCAATAGTAGAAGTGGACGTCCTGCAGGGCCGGCGCCCTTTCTTTTGCCTGCTGCTGGCTTCCGGCAGGATCCTCGGCGTTTACGAAGGTAAGTTTGTTACTGTTGGCAAACCATATGGATGCGCTGCAGCTATATATGTTTATAATTTTTATGATTGTACCTAGTGTTAATATGTTGATCCGGCAATTGTTTTTTCTGGTTCTAATAAGTGAGGTAGGAAACTTGCGATATGTAGATCACAAAGTGGCTCTAGTAAATCCATGTAACAAAGGGAATATCGAAGGGTGCATAGAAGCCGGTGATGTTATTGTGATTAGAATATTCTCTTAGGTCATCACATTTCTCACCAGCCCCGCTTGTGCCTTGTCTGATAAAATTTGTCGGTCTAAATAAAATAGTTATTTCCATAGTGTTTCTCTTTCTATATTCAGCTAATTAAAGCGTGCACCATATTTTTTTTCACGCAGTTATCAAGACCTAGATGCACCCGAGGATGAAGTGACGGTTATAGACTACAGGAGCTTGTAGGTTGGGGAAATGCGAAAATGGAATGAGGAAAGCAGCATCAAGGTCAAATTCCTGGGGTTATTTGTACCATAATGTTAGAACTCTAAAATTCTTATATATCTTTCCAGGTGCTACAATTTGTGATGAGCATTCTCCTGCTTTGATTTTAACCAAGAATAACGCTTTATTTCGTATAATATTTCTCCTATTGATTGTTGGTCCCGCTTAACGGACTTCGACAGAGGTGATGATTCTGAACATTGAGGAAATGTTTTTATAACAAATTTGTATTTGCTGTAAAATATGGAATTTTTACTCCCAATGCTTGCAAAATATTCACACTTGTGTTCTTTTGCCTCCCAATAATTAAAAGTAGTACTAATAAGGAGATTGTCATAACTATTTTTTTTGAAAAACAATTATGACTTTGATTTGAAAAATTGATGATTTTAAATCAATTTGAATGGAGTCGTCATCGACCTTTGGGTTAGGTAGGTTTAATACTTAAAAACATCTTTTAAAATAATTTTAAGAAAAATCGTTTTTAAGATAAAAATTGGTTTGTGTCTATCAAAAATTCGATTTAACAGGTTCGGGAGTCGATTATGCGTGAGGAAGAATAAACACCCCCACAACGCCCAAAAATTGGTACATAGTCGCTTATACATTGTCGTAATGGTGGAAATCATGAATTCACATCAATAATTAAAGTATGATCCATTTATTGAACTTAATTAATTTGCTTCCAATTATTATTAGGAAAAAATTCTTTAACTTGAAAAAAAATCTCGAGATTTGCGATCCTCCATCGGGAAAGTTATCTCAACTATTTCTCATCCGTGAAATTATTTAGAAAAATAATATCGGAATTTGCATGATCATTATTAAAAGATCGATTTAATTCAAGTTCACTATTTGTTTGAATGTTGTATCATATCACACTGCTTCAATCAAGCGGTGCTTTCTACGCAAATTCTACAAATAAATGTTCTTGAAAAACATTTGACTGATAACAAATAGAGTATAAATTTATAGCTAAAAATCAATATATATTTAAATAGGTAAAGAAACCATAATAAATTGAAATATATAAATAGATATGTGCATAATAAAATACATGTGATAAAAATTTCATACAAATAAGGCTTACAACAATTGTTTTAATTTATATATATATATATACATACACGAAATTATACAGGTAGTAAAAACAAAGTTACAAATTTGGACCAAGATGTAAATATTCAAATATGATAAACTAAAGTATGAGTAAAAGAATTTGATCATATCTAGTAAATAAGGATTAAATAGCAAGAACAACAACTTTAGAGGTAAAATAATAAACATATAACAAATCATAGCTAATGCACAAATATCATGAAACATGAGTACTAAAACAGAAATAAATCCCAAAGCAACATGCAGGACCAAAATAAAACGAACCAGAAATTCGTAAGGGTAAATAAAAATTATACCTAAAAGCAACAATATACAAAGAGATGACTAAAATGAAATATTTACAAACATCATGACCAGAGTCGAACATTAACAAAGGCATAACATATAACATGGCGACTTAAATATAAATGAGGAAGAATGAGTGCCCGAAACAGAACATTACAAAGTTCATTTGATGGCTAAATAATGAGATTACAAATCATAGGGACCAAACATGTTATTTTCCCCATGCCTAACGCGTAGATTCCCCTTCGCCAAAACAGCGTCACACTTAGGTTAAGATATAAACCCGTTTTAAGGGTTTTCTCCAAAACCCTAATTCATTTCCTAACCCTCTCTCAGCCGTATTCCCTCATTTCCTCTATGCTTCCCCCTCTTCCCACTACTGAAGAAGAAAACCACAACCCCGTCTACCGTAGATCGACGACCATGGGGATTCAAACACAACAACATCATCTACCTTATCTATTTCTCCTCTGCCTCTCTCTAAAACAAACCTAAAAACCGAGCTCCCACCCACAATCATATTTTAAAACAATACCTTTATATTCGAAAACAAGAGGTCCTTGGTCCGGTGAAAAAACGATGGTCACTGTTCCGATTAAGAGCAATGTAATCTCTTTTCCTTTTTAATGTTTTTCTTATTTTTTCTCCTGTTTGAAGGATCTCTTCAAGTCTGGAGTTTGTTTGTTTTTTTTCTCTAGTTTCTCCTCTCATTCGAATCTTTCTGTTTTCTTCCCTCTTCGTCTCCTCTTTTTCCCCGAAAAACTCTCTCTAGTTTTTCTTTTTTCTTCTTCTTCCCCAAAAACTCTCTCTTCGAAAATGCCCCCCTCTTCTTTTTATCTTACATATGGATGATTGATGATGTCTATTGTCGAGGAGATAGGATATCATTATCCTATTTTCATTGATTGACAAAATAAGATTTGCTTTGGATTTGTTTTGATTTTTTATTGGGGTTTTTCATTTGAGTTGATCTTTTATTGATTTAGTGCAGGTTCGGTCACTGTTGATGATGACGGCGGCTCAGGGGCTTTTGACAGCGACTCACGCGACTGGGGTGATGGCCGGTGAAGGGCATACGTCGGTCTGGGGAGCTGAAGAGTTTGGCGCATGCATTACATGAGCGGGTGGGCTGATATCTTTTGGTCGACGATAACTGCTGTAGGAGAGAAGAAACCCTAATATGTCTGAGTTGAATACTGGGCATGGACCTGGTTAGATCTTGGGCCTCGGGTCTGGGCTCCAGCTGGGTTTTGGTGGGCTTGAGTGTTTGTATTATGGGTCCTTGTAAATTGGGCCTACACAATGTAAATTAAAATGTTATAAGTAGTAGTAGTAGTAGTAGTAGTAATAATAATAATAATAATAATAATAATAATAGATTAATAAGCGTAATTAAAACCTGAACAAAAACGGGTATCTACAACTTCCCCTCTTTGCACATTATTGTGTTAACAAGAATAGGGAAACGATAACATGACAACAAGTTTTTGTCCGGTTCTCTTTTTAACTTTGAAACTTGATATTAAAGGCGACACTGCTCATCCGCTATGAAGAGTTCTGGTCATGTTTAGGGAAATTTGAAGAAAACACGGTTCCTACGTGATGAGGAAATCTGGTTATCTAAGGGTGACACTGCTCTTACGTGATGAGGAGATCTGGTCGGTGGATGACATTGTTCCTACGTGATGGGGACGTCTAGCCTTCTTTAGGGATAAATTGAGATAACACAGTTTCTACATGATGAGGAAGTCTGGCTATCTAAGGATGATGCGACTTCTACGTGATGAGGAGATCTGGTCGGTGGATGACATTGTTCCTACGTGATGAGGACATCTAGCCATCTTTAGGGATAAATTGGACATAACATGATTCCTACGTGATGAGGACGTCTGGTTATCTAAGGATGATGCGGCTCCTACGTGTTGAGGAGATCTGGTCGATGGATGACATTGTTCCTATGTGATGAGGAAGTCTAGCCATCTTTAGGGTTAATTTGTTTCAAGAGAAATTGTCTCAAGCGAGATAAAATTTTTTCAAGGGAAACAATCTCAGATGATGTTTCAAAAGAGACAAAATTTGTTTCAAGAGAAACAATCTCAAAGTTCGTGTCTTAAGGAAGACTATCTCAAGTGAGACGAAATTTGTTTTTAAGAGAAACTGTCTCAAGCGAGACAAAATTTGTATTTCGAGGGAAAACTATCTCAAGCGAGACGAAACTTTGTTTCAAGAGAAACAATCTCAAAGGAGACAGACATTCTACTCCTGCATGTTAAGGAGATCTAGCTGCCTTTAGAAGATATAATCGTTCACTTCAAGATGTCAAATATGTGAATGACATTGTTCTTTCATGTTGAGGACATTTGGTTATCACCAAACTTTGATTTCCTGAAAGATCAATATAAAAATGATGCATATATGAATGACTATCTTGGATGTTATAATGGATGCCAAGATGAAGTTTATTTTATGTGCTTGATTTGATGAATTTTTGAATTTGTCCTCATGAGAGGGGGAAAATGTCTTTAATAAAGACAAGGTTTCAAGTGGAAATTTTAAAAGTAACCCCATGAGAGGGAAAATCAAATTCATTATTGCACATGATGATGAATGTATGATGCAAATATGCAACTTTCAGGTGGCATGTATGCAAAGATGTATGTTGATGTATGAGAGGGGAATGGTTGTTTGAATAGTCTTCATTTTATCCCTGATTCAGTTGTCTTCATTTTCCACCAGTGTGTATTCTTGCAGACTTCAACATGTGGCAATTTGTTTTCCTTGCCCCATCAAATTTTGCCCCAAAAATTATGGCTTCCCTTACCCCAGCTTTGATCATGAACTTTATAGATTTATTTATTGAATTCCAAGATATACTTCCAGAGAGATTATTTTGTTTGAAAATGTTTTTCTTCCTTTGAAAAAAAATTAATGAAGAAAGAATTTGTGAATTTTCATTGTTAAATGAACTAAAATAATGCTCCCTCTTCAGCCTCAGAATTGGAGCAAATCACAAAACATGAGTTCGTTGAATATTAAAAGAATCCAGTGATCTTTTAATCTTTCATAACTGCAAATATTTGACAAATATCAAGATCGACAGGTTGGTTTTGAGGGTAGCTACCTATATTTTGAGGTTTGTTTAATCAATTCATCTTTTTTGTTTTCTCTATCATCATGAAAATTAGGACATACCCCTCTTTCTTGGTTTAGCATATTGATCAGAGGCAGACAAAATGACGCAACTAGCATAGTCAATTTCTAGACTTTTTAGAACACTTCTGTTTTAGTTCTTTGAAATCTTCCATTTGTTCAAGCTTTGTAGATTTCTCTAGCCAAGGCAGTGTGGAAATATCGATCTAAAAATGAGATTCATGAGTGCTCGTGTGGAATTGACTATAACAGGTGTTCCTCAACTCCCTTTGTCCATATTCACTGAAACTCCTTATTTAATAAATTCGATTTAGTTTTCCATGTTTTGGCTAGCTGAATTTAGCTTTATTGTACATACATAGATTATAATTACCTTTATTTGGCTAGCTGAAGGATTCATGTCGTCAGAAAGCCTTTGAC